TTTATCTCTAAATAATTCATTTTTACTACCATTATCTGAATGTCCAGCTTCTACTTGGGATGCCCTGCTACTTAAGAAGATAAAGAAACAATATTTGTAGCAGCCTCTTATTGAAAAAATTCTGTTGAAGACAATCAGGACCAGGTCAGGGATTCCTGATAAGCATAATGAACAATAGGTAACACAAATATTTAAACAAAAATAAATCACAGCATGGTTTTGATTGATTATTTAGTGTTTTAGAAAGTGGAGTTGATTTCTGGAGTATGAAGATGCATGCTGGGTAGATTTTGAGAAGATGTGTAGGTATGTCAGGGTTTTTTTCGTTCACGAAATCCCGAGAATGAATGAAGATATCGACTTTGTACTAATTTTATTCGAAAGATAATGCGATAAAGAAGATCTCAAAGAAGTTTCAACTAATTCGGTCGAGCTGTTTTTTTTATAACAAAGAAACTACGAGATAAATAGAGTGATGGAGAAGTGGAAACACATTCTACCTATTGGATGATCAATATTAATATGTGATTGGGTCAACATCAACAAAGTATGGTTATACACAACTACACATGACTCTTGACAACTCTATATTGTTTATAACAATTTAAATGAGTTATAAACAATGAAAAATAGTTGCTACCGATGAAGTGATGATTGCTGCTGATAGATTGGATCTATATTAACTAAATATTCTTGTCAATCACCACCCATGACTCTCACCTACTTCATATTGTTTATAACAATAGCAATTTGTTGTAAACAATTAAAAAAAGTTTCCAGCTATTGAATGATCATTATTGATGATAAATCAGACCAACATTGACGAAATATTGTTGTTAATACCTACACATAACTCCAAACCATTGGATATATCTGGTTGGAAGTCATCCCTATCATCTTCAACATGATGTTGGCTTCCATTTAAGATACTTAATTAATAAAAAAGTTTAAGAAAAAAAGTGGCAGCACCTAGAATAGCCAATAAGCTAGCTTTCATCAACATTCATTGATGAAGAAAAATAAATAAATATTAGTTTACTATTGAAATGTAATGCTAATGACATCATCTAGGAGATGAATTGTGAAATGAATATCTATCAATATCACTAGTATAATTCCATCCATGATATCCGGAAATTCGAAAGGGAAGAGTACCCATCTGTAGTCTTCACCAAGGCTACGTCTTACTGACCGAGTTGTGGTTTTAAGTTCAAGAATTTCAATGACTCACCTCAACGCCAATAGAAGCCGATGTCCCGTCAGTCTTGCCAAGCTTTTCTTTTCCTTCAATTTTTCCTGAAATTCAAAAAATAAAAATTATTTGAATACATATCCGTTGGATCCAAGGTATAAAAGTCAGAATATAATGATCAGGAAATGGATCAAATAGTTGGAAAAAGGATTAGTGAAGACGATGTGTGGCCTTTAGTATTTATAAGAGGATTATGGAGAAGTATTTTGCAAGTCATGGTTAGACATTGAACTTTGATAACCGCAAATGAATCACATTACCTCACAATAACAAATACGTCAATGATTAGACCAAAGTGTTAACGATCTAAAATTACGGAAAATTTAGAATTGGAATTTATTTATTCCGCAATTCATCGTTTTTCTTACATAAAAATTAATAATAGCATCTGATGATGAAGTAAGTCATAATTTTCACACGTTTCTAAATGGAAATACTGAGAAAGTCGTTTTCCATTTAGAAATGATGTACACCTGCACCTTGTCACATTCAAATGTGTATATTAATTTGATGTTGGTATAAATTGAAGAGAGCAACAGCTCACACACTTGCGAATATATATCTTTATCTGGGTACTTTACTTGCAGATCACTTCCTCTGCGATGATTCATCCTAGATGTATGCATGGATAATATCGCTATGCTTTACATTGCGGTTCGAGGTTTCGGATCTCTGACACCTAAACTATCGCACCGTATATCGCATTACGGGATGGATCAGTTTGTATCAGCACCTGTGTGCTTTTAGGAATTTTTCAATTCTTTTTGTTGGGTTTTGTTCATGATTTTGACCATTAGATGAACATGGATAAATCATAATTAGTTGATGAATTAAGTTAATGTTTGATTGCAGTAAGTTCATTGCTATTTATAATTGTCTTCTTTTTTATACGTAGTATTCAAGATTGATTTCATTATTTTTAAATGATGCAGGAAAATTTGTTGGGAGGGTTCAAAGGTTGCTTTGATAGATGATTTTTTTTGCAAAAAACTGGTGGTGACTTTAAATTGTCGTAGTTAATGAACGAATGGTGGTACATTGATGAGTCTAGACTCATTAGAAAGCTGAGAATCTCCACTTTACAATGGTATCTATGAAGATTCAAGAAAAAATTTTTTGTTTCTCTGATATTTTTTTTAATAGAGTGATGAAGAAATGCTCATCTAGACCTGGAGAACAAAAATCATCTTCAACTTCCGATGCTCATAATTTTGGAACCAATGATCCTACAAGAATAAATCTGTGCTCATTGGAAAGCTTATATTCTGATCTCCAAAAACACATCCCTAACAATTGATGAAAAAATCAGTTAGTCCCTGTATCTATTTAAAATCAAATGATTGAATATCATAAGCTCTGCTATTTTTAATCTTTGATCATCATCACTTTCTACAATAGAATGACCTACCAGTTATTCACCGTTCTCAACAGATCAGCTTCTTATCTCTTATTCTTTCCTTTTGTTGATAACATTATCAAAGAATTAATTACAAGCTAACTAATTAAATTTATCATCTAAAGTATTTATTGATCTTAATAATTAAGTAAAAAGATCAAAAGTTACCTAAATGTATTCAGAATAAGTCCAAATGACAGGTTGATCATCAGTAATCAAAGACAAGCTGATGGAGTTGATGAAAATTATGTGAAAAGACTAGAGGATTCTATTGATAATCCAGTATTCAAGAAACTAGGATCCATATCAACTTCAGAGATTGCTTACACTGCATCCGAGTAACAGACAAATGATCCTCGTGTTTTCGTCGAAGACAGTTAACTGTGAGAATAAAATGGTAACATGAAAAATAGCAGCATAGTCTAGTGACAAAATACCCACGACAAAATTAAAAAAAGTAATAAATCACGTGATTTATACAAATCGATAGTAAGTGAACGAGTGATTCAACACCTTGAATTCCAAGAAACTGTTTCATTCATCCGGTAGCAATGTCTGGACACGCGACGATTTCTATTCTTTCATATTTCAGACACTAGTGAATTACGTCTAATGGTTTTTCCTGAAAGACGTTGACCAATTTTTAGAAGTTAACGTCAGCATATTAACATTGACCTACTTTTTTACATTCATGAATGTCCTATAGTAGGGAAAAAAAAACATATTCTCCAAAGCAGTTCCGTTGGTAAGCATAGCACGTGGTATTTTATCATGATGACTATTGCTTTGGAAAAATGCAAGTGAAAGTTGTTGGTTGTATGGAAATTTATGTCTTGCTTGCTCTCTTGAACAATTATCTACGCTATTAACTGACTAATCTTTATATAGAGAATAAATTCGCGTGTCCTATTACGCATAAACTTAACTTCATACTTTGAATCTCCATCAAAGAACGCTTGAGACGACCCTACCGAATTCTTTATCCTCTTTTCAATGCTTGTACTGACCTTGAAGCCAACCTCTTCATCGCATGAATGGAAAGACTCGATTGAATGGAAAATACTGAAAAATAATGTTATTAGAAAATAATAATAATGGTACATATTTTTTGTTGAAGGATAACCAACACATTTATAACGAATAAGACTTATTGTTGGAGTAGGTCTTGATAAATCATTTTTTTAGGGGTTGAAATAAATTTTTCCAATTATAATTAGGGTATGTATTTTAAAGAATAGACTTCAAGCTTTCTAATGAGCTCAGTCTCGTTGTTGTACGATGATTCTTCCTAAAGTTATGAGCATCAGAAGTTAGACCTGATTTTGATGCTTCAAGCAGAGCTTATGATGTTCAATCATTTGATTTTAAATAAATCCAGGGACCAACTAATTTTTTCATCAATTGTTAGTGATGTGTTTTTGGAGATCAGAATCTAAGCTTTCCAATGAGCACAGATATATACTTGTAGGATCATTGGTTCCAAAGTTATGAGCATCGGAAGTTGAAGATGATTTTTGTGCTCCAGGTCTAGATGAGCATTTCTTCATCACTCTATTAAAAAAAATATCAGAGAAACAAATAAATTTTTTCTCGAATCTACATAGATACCATTGTAAAGAGGAGATTCTAAGCTTTCCAATAAGCTCCATATCATAGACTATCCGTTTCTGCTCTCTCAATGATTTCCGTGATAGTTTTATTGAAAAAATTGTCATAGCTGAGCTAACAAGAATAGATACTGATCATTGAAAAACCTTATAATTAAAATATCAAGATCGTACCTTATTATATCAATTTTCTCTAGAATTTCATATAATTTCCAACAGTTTTTAGCATTATTTTTCATCAATAAAAAATAATTAGAGTTCATTGAACACAATTGAAAAAAAAAACATTGTTTTTTTTTTTCAATCCAACAAAGTTAATCAAATCATTGTCATTCTTATCAGCAGATCGTTTATTTCTATTTATTTTATAACTCTCGTGACATTCGAGTAATAATAACTATTATCAATGGTAAAAGAACTGATGATGAAACAGAAACAGTAAATCATATCATAATAAACTACTAGTCTGTTCCAGTCATTCATTTAATAAATTCCCTACTTTTCATTGAAGCTTCAATTCCCTAGACTTTATCTGATGTTTCCATTGACCAAACATCATCTAAAAAAATTATTACCAGTTCATTAATACTGATCAATAGTTCCAATGATCACGAAGATCAAGGAAAAATGCTGGGAATTTATCAACCAAGTTCTTTTTTCATAAAATAAAAAAACTTTGTTTCCTGCTATAAAAAATTCAATTCATTGTTATTCTAATTAAAGTGATAAAACATTGGTTTTTCAGGTGCTAATTCACCAGTTCCATTGATATCTTCATAAAAAGAACCACGAAACCAAAAGCAACTAGGATCAATTGTGATGTAGATCCAAAGGAAATGATTGAAATTGATAAAGCAAGACTCATCGATATTGAAATATGTTTAAAAACCAGTAAAATTATTCATCTTCCAATTCCCAAGTGAGTATCTCTTAATTTTCCCAAAGATTTAGAGTCTCTCGCTTCCGCATTTTAGAATTCATTTTTTTTCTTCAATAGATTTAGCCACTTCTTTAAACACGCCGCGGCATTTCCTGGTCTAATTCTTTGCATTGACGACAATCCAACTTTTGTTGAATTTTCTTGCTTTTCTGTAACCCAGAGAGACCCAACACGATGTGTGGTGATCGTTGGCTATCCATTTCCTTTGCTTTTCTTCTCTTAAAATCCCCCAGCATGACTATGGTTTTGAATTTTTCGAGTTCCCGACAACTAGGCGCCAGACGCAAGTCTTTATGACAATGGCCAACACCAGGTGATTTGAACGAGCAAGCTGCACGTGCCGACTACATAGCTTTAACACTCAGAATAAAAGATGCTAGACACCCTACAGATTCAGCTTCTATAGCTAACGTGGCTCTGCAAATTTTCTATTTTGCTCCGCCTTGCTCTTGAAAATGTCCAAGTTGAAATACTGATTTTTAGTCTAGGAGGACCATCCCAAGCTTATCTTCATGTTTATTTTATTTCGTAGTCAATTGTTGCCAACATCGCCTAAGGGTGATGGATACTTGGCTCTTTGGAGGATTGTTGATCAGCTAAGTGGAAAAATTACCGTAAATTTGATTTATTAATAAACTTTGGGATTTACTCTTGACACTGGGAGATCCAATTAGCACTGAATCCGGTGCTTTTGTGATGAAAGATAATTTACAACAGTTATATTTTAATTATAAGGTTTTTCAGTGATCAGTATCTATCCTTGTTAGCTCAGCTATGACAATTTTTTCAATAAAACTATCACGGAAATCATTGAGAGAGCAGAAACGGATAGTCTATGATATGGAGCTTATTGGAAAGCTTAGAATCTCCTCTTTACAATGGTATCTATGAAGAATCAAGAAAAAATTTATTTGTTTCTCTGATATTTTTTTTAATAGAGTAATGAAGAAATACTCATCTAGACCTGGAGCACAAAAATCATCTTCAACTTCCGATGCTCATAACTTTGGAACCAATGATCCTACAAGTATGTATCTGTGCTCATTGGAAAGCTTAGATTTTGATCTCCAAAAACACATCCCTAACAATTGATGAAAAAATTAGTTGGTCCCTGTATTTATTTAAAATCAAATGATTGAACATCATAAGCTCTGCTTGAAGCATCAAAATCAGGTCTAACTTCCGATGCTCATAACTTTTGGAAGAATTATCATACAACAACGAGACTGAGCTCATTAGAAAGCTTGAAGTCTGTTCTTTAAAATACATACCCTAATTATAATTGGAAAAATTTATTTCAACCCCTAAAAAAATGATTTATTAAGACCTACTCCAACAATAAGTCTTATTCGTTACAAAAATGTTGGTTGTCTTTTTTATTCTAAATAATTTTTTATATTTTCAATCTCTCAGACCTTGCTTTGAAGGCCAAGATCTATTCCAACTCTCATTTTCAACCATTTATTCATATTTTGGATGGTATCCAACCCCTCATCTAGACACCTTATTCCTATTCCACTCTAGACCTTTGATTTCAATATTTTCTTCGATCTTCATCAACTGGTTCAAGCAATTAGCATGGATAAGACCATCAAATACCGTCTAAAACTCATCTTGTTTACTTAATCTTCCAATTAGCACATCATTAATCACACCTTTCCTTTGATCAAACTCAAACATCCTACACAATAAATCATTTTTCTTGATGAACATGACAGAATAGCTGCATCAATTTCAAGTAAAACTCTTCATCTGATAGAATATAATGTTATTGTTATCCTCAGATCATGTTGGATGATTTTTCGAGCCATTAATTCCACTTGATGATTTTTCATGACTCATTTTTTTTCAGATCTCTAGAGTTTCTTGTGACTCACATTGTCATTTTATTTCATCCTACTTGGATAATTATTTTTTTCTCCTTTATAGCACAGATGTAATTGGTAATGATGACTTATACTTGTCGAACCCGGACCTTTCCCAAGTAGCTTTTTTATTTAAGATGGATCTCAGTTCACGATTTACTTCTCAACATGTTGCTCAATGTTGCGTGATTGTTGGCAATGTTTGGTCTTGATGATTCTTGGGTTATTTCATGATCTAATTGTCTACTTAGGGAGACCGGTATTCAATAGAGTTATTCTGATGATCAATTAGCTAGGATTTTTATTAGATATTATTTTTTTTTTATGATGATTATGATATGCGGAAGTAAGTTAAAATGACGTAAATACTTTTTTCCTTGATGCAATTTAAAAAAACAAATTCTTTCTTATCCTTAAGATTATCAATGATTTATAGAAAAAATCATAGCTTTCGAGATAAATATAGATGTAGAGAAAAAAAAAATTATATAGCGTTATGTAATATTTACTCATGACGTTTAATTGAAATCGTGTAAGTGTGATAGTCTTGATGGAGCTCCGGGATTACCATACGATTGTGCAATGCCTTTCGACGTCATTGGGTCGTTACACTTGCGTGTCTGATTCATCCGACAACGTACACCCACTTTGTATATACTTGGTTGGAATAAGTAATATGAGACTGGAATATAGGCTACGGACTTGGCTTTTCTTGCAACCTAGATATTGATTGTTTATCGATTTCAGATTGACAATTTTTGATTGCAGTCAGTTCAAGTGCGTTTTATAACTTATGTCAGGTGTTTTATTCATGATTAATTTCATTGTCTTCAAATAATGCAGGAAAATTTGTCAAAATGGTCCAAAGGTTGCTGTGATGGATATCTTTTTCTGCAAAAAATTGGTGGTGACTCAAAATTGTCATAGCTAATGAATGCATGGTGCTACATTGATGAATCTAGACTCATTAGAAAGCTGAGAATCTACTCTTTACAATAGTATCTATGAAGATTCAAGAAAAAATTTATTTGTTTCTCTGATATTTTTTTTAATAGAGTGATGAAGAAATGGTCATCTAGACCTGGAGCACAAAAATCATCTTCAACTTCCGATGCTCATAACTTCGGAACCAATGATCCTACAAGAATAAATCTGTGCTCATTGGAAAGCTTAGATTCTGATCTCCAGAAACACATCCCTAACAATTGATGAAAAAATTAGTTGGTCCCTGTATTTATTTAAAATCAAATGATTGAACATCATAAGCTCTGCTTGAAGCATCAAAATCAGGTCTAACTTCCGATGCTCATAACTTTTGGAAGAATCATCGTACAAAAACGAGACTGAGCTTATAAGAAAGCTGGAAATCTGTTCTTTAAAATACATATTCTACTTATTATTGGAAAAATTTATTTCAACCCCTAAAAAAATTCTAAAAAGGTCAATGTTTTTTTAATCAAAAATTAAAAAACTGATAATCCTATTTGTTTTTGCATAAATCTACATATTCATTATCACTAGTTTCTGCTATTCAATCTATCACAAGATTCTCCAATGAAACAACAATCATGAAATCGATCAACATCACCAACACTACTCTCCTTAACTTCAATCATCAATGAAGTAATAGCAACCGATCTAAATGATAACAACTCGATCTGAATTAAAAAAAAAACCAAGCCATTAGAGACATCTGTACATGCTCATATCAACTGCGATTTCTATTTCACACATGAAACCTAGACCAAACCCACTACAACTGTAGACAAACAAGTATTAGCATAAATATCCTACTCGATTGCGTAAAAATAACTTGATTACATGAGAACCTCTTTACCGATCTCCATTCCTCCTATCGACTGAGACCTTTATTTTTACTCCAGTTTCCAGGTTTATCTAGGTAATTTAAAGTCATAAAAAAGACCAATTACTATGGATAAAGATCTAGGCCAGCATGTCACGAAACTCCCACGAGCTGGACACTTTGTTTACTGGTTTCCAAGAGCTAGGATATTTATTTTTTCAGCAGGTGGACTATTTGCCAATAGCTATTATTAGCCAACTGATATAATTATTGAATCGATACCGTTCTAAGAATATTATTAAATAGGTAAATTAAATTTAAAAAAAAGAAGTAATCATGATAATTGTTGACAAATATCAACTAATTGTGTTAGTTTAGAACTCATGGAGTAACAATGGCTTTAGAAAGTTGAAAGTTAGCTTTTTAAAATAAGAATGAATGAATGAACGATGATATTTCCGGTTAGTTAAGATTATCAGTCAAGGTTGGGGATCTTACGTAAGAGTCTAGCTGAAGCCATGGCGCTAGCGTCAAAGCTGTAAACATAAAAGCTAAAATAAAATCACAAATGATATATGGATGTGAAAGGTGTAGGATATTGTTGATGATGATGATGATAAAATGATGGATAGTGATAAAAAATAATTACTTTGATTGTTACAAGATTGTGATGGAGACACAGACACCTGAGGTAGAGTTTATTGTTAGCTCCTTTATCCACTGCAAGAAGTCTACTGTATTTGATGATGATGATGATGAGGATGATGATCAACACTTGAATGTCACAATACACTTCCGTTGTCTTTTGCTCGCTAAACAATAACAAACAGATGCTTTTGTTTTGGTTGATTAACTGCTTTATTAGTTACCAAGAGAATTCACGAGACGAATACGCGTGCTGGATAACGCGAATTGACTTGATATGTGGTGTTGTGTGTACGTAGGCCGCCGATGCGAATAGATTTCTCGGTGGTGGCACGCGTGCGCGTTCAACACGATCTTTATTTACATGTGTTCAACCTGGTATCACGTGTATTAGCATAACTATGAATTTATTGCGAAGGAAATTGTGGGCTGAGAAAAAGCAGAAATTGCTATGATGAAGTTTGATCAATTTTTTTTAGCACTTCTAGTTGGTGGATCAGGCTTTCATTGGACATCTAGAGATCGGAAATTTCCCGTTCTATAAAACCCTGATGATCAAATATATTTATCTCCATTAGTTTAGTTGCAATGATTCTTTTTTAACAAAGGTAAGTTAAAAAAACCTAAGTACAATTGTTACATTGGGATCTCAATGTTTG